GAATAAAAGGGGGGTTTTTTGGGAAGCGGCGTTTGGCCCCTTTTCGGGGCGGGATGGCCGCGGGCCGTCCCCCCCGATTGATTTTGCACTGGGTTCCCGCGGGGCCCGACGCCCCCGTCCAGGGCCCCGCTGCCCACCCGCTGGTGGTGGCTACTGCCGTCCTCCGCTGGGGGCCGGTTGCGTCTGCGCCGAGCGGAGCAGCGCGCGTGCAGCTTCCGCACCACGCGATGCTGCGCGTCTTTGGCCGGCGGCTGCGCCTCGCGGCGCCCCCCGCCGGTACTCCCGCCCCGATGGTCTGCCCGCTGGACCTCGCTCTCACCGGAACCGCGTGGGCTCGCTTCCTGAACGAGCTGCTCACGTGCGGGCTCCTCGACGCGGCCCCCTTCTCCTCTTCGGCTGCACTACAGCTGGCGATCGACCGCCTCGATGTGTCGCCAGCGGCGCTGGAGGTGAAAGAGCCCTATCTCCTCCCGGTGGGGGGCCTCGCCGCCGCGGCCGCGCTGGCGGGGGATGCTGCTCATGCGCAGCGCGGGGCGCCTCGCCGAGCCAGCGCCGCGGCGTCTGCGGCGAGGCCGGCGGCGGCTGCGCGCGCGGCCCTACCTTCTCGCCAGCGGCTGCATCTCCGCGTACGGCCTCCGACCCCCCGAGTGCTAACCCGCAACTACTGGCGAGCTATTTTAAGGACTACGTGCTCGCGCTGGAGGGCGCGCTGCCCCCTTCGCTCTGCGCCCCCAACGTTGCGGGGCCGCAGTGGCTGGAGGAGGCGCGCGATGCGGCGACCTACTTGCGCGGCGACGCTGGCCGCCGCAGCGTCGAGGATAAGCGCCTCTACCTGCTCGCCCCCGGCGCCCCGCTACTGCTCTCAGTCCTTGGCGACGTCCGGCGGGGGGGGGGGAAGCGCGCGACCTCTTGTTCGCCCTCGCAACCGCGCTCTTGCCGGACGCGCGCATGAGTGCGCCCACCACGCCGCTTGCCACCGCCGTGCGGCGCGTGGAGGCCTCGCTTGCCCCGAGGCGGGCTGTCTTGGCCGCTGCCTCTGCCAACGGCGCGTCCCCGCAGTCCGTGGTGGCCGCGCTGGTCGAACAAGCCGCCTCGCTGCGCTCACCGAGTGCGGTGGCTGCAACAGACACGGCCCCTTCTCGCTCGGGCGCCTACGGAGGTGACGGGGGAGGCGGGCTGGCTTTTGGCAGCCTGGACGCGGAGTTCTCCAGCGCCCCGTTCGTGGACTTCGAGCGCACCATCCTCAGCTCGCCGTGCCACACGCCGGACGAGCGCGCCGGCATCTTCGACCTCGCGCTGGCTGGCACTTTGCGATCCACTTTGCGCATCCTCGTGAACGCCCCTTCGGCCGCCGCCCTCTCGCGGCGTCGCCCCTGCCTGGCCCACGGAGCTGGCCCACGGAGCTAGCCCACATGGAAGGTCGCCGGGAATGCGGCGTAAAGCATCCTGCGCCTGGGTGACGGCGATAAACTACCTTCCATCGGACTGGGTGACTGTCCTTAAAATACCTTCCATCGGCCTGGGCGACGGCTCCAGCCCCCAAATACCGGACCAGCCCAAGGTGATGGCTCTAAAATTCAGCCAGCCTCGGTGATGGCTCTGTAATATACACCTATAGGTGAGCCGTCGGCAACCATGGCACGCTGGCTTCGCTTCGCTAACACGCTGGGGGCGCTCGAGCTCCTTGCCTGGCGCCCGACGATCTGGCCCGCCAGTTCATCCTGCTGTCGCGGGCGCTTCACCTCTTCGTCGACCGCGCTCGCTCGCCGGCCAGTCTCTGGCGCGGTCCGCTACCGCCGACGGCGGCTCGGCGAGCGGCGCTGGCGCGCGCCTCGCTCGGGCTCGTTCGCGCCGCGGCGGCAGCGCGCCCGCATTTTGCCTGGCGCCCGACGATTTGTCCTGACAGTGGCCCGTCGCTCCCGCTTCGAAGCGCTGCCGCCGTCAGCACAAACCGCCGCCACTGCCGTCGCGCCCTGCGCCAGTGCGGCGGGGCGCCTAGCGCCCAGCTGACACGGCATCCTACCGTCGGGGCAACTCAGCTCAACGATTGGGTGAATTCCGGATGACTGCGCATAATGGGGTTGACCCGCCGCGCAGCAAGCCGGTGTTCACGCCAATTCGAGCTACTACATCGCTTCACGTTCCGAGCCATACGCACCTTACAACAATGGGGCAGGAGTTAAATCGGCTCGCGCCGAGCTCCTGCTGTCGTCATCGTCGTCCTATGGGCGTGCGAGGGCGGCGGGCACCGACGGCTCAGCCGAGTCGGGTCGGTAAAGCCCTCCCACTGTTCTTGGTGGCACTGTCGCGAGACGGTTGGCCGATCGGAATCCATTAACTACTACGTGGAGTTCATCCCCGATGAACGACTCATGGTCAAATTGCCCATCTCGACTTGCCCGTTGTCAACATCACTAGGGAGATTTGATTGGCGCTGGCGCCTGCTGTTGACAAGTGGGATCATCTGGCTTCCGGAATACTTCCGCGAAGCTGCCCCCAGCAGGCGTTTGACCAAAATCCAAATTTCCCTACTCCAGTTGAGGCGGCCCTCGGACCCGAGAAGGTCTTTTCTCGCAGCTGCGAGACATGCTTTCTCGGAGCGGGGCATCCAAAACAACAGGGCGGAAGGGAGGGGTGACCATACGCGCAGCGCAGGAGGGGTGCCCCTAAGGGGGCACAAAGGTAGCTCAAAGGGGAGTGAACAAGACGCCGCACAGGCGACGTGCACGCTCGCCGCCTGCGCTCGCCGCGTCGCTCTCTCCCTCCCCTTCTTTGCTTGAACCCACCACCATCCCCTGTCACCTCTGTGTGTGTGTGCCTGCTGGGGGATCATCTGGCTTCCGGTGAATACTTCCGCGAAGCTGCCCCCAGCAGGCGTTTGACCAAAATCCAAATTTCCCTACTCCAGTTGAGGCGGCCCTCGGACCCGAGAAGCTCCTCTACCTTTTGACAACCGCTCCTACGTCCCCCCCCTGGCCAGGCCTAACCGAGACCTTTACCTCCCTCTACAGTACGTCCGCTATCTCTACACGTTGTGGGCCGTCCCCGAGCACGTGATTCGCTCGCATTCTACCCGTAACCCGATGGCTTCACCGCGTGTGCCGCCGCGCTCTGGAGGCTCCGCGCACGCACCAGCGTCAGACACGCATCGACGCCACCGGCGCAGCCTGGAGAGGGGCCTCGGGATCGTTCGCCCGCTCGGGCTGCGAGCACTGCGACGCGCGCAAGCTCAGCACCTCTGTGCCCTCGGAGTCGGTGGCAGAGTCGAAGCGGCCGTACGCGCGCGGGTCTGCCGGCTCGACGGTAGTCCCGCGCGCGAGGGGCAGCGGCTTTGGCGGCTGGTAGAGGCGGAGGAGCAGCGACGAGCAGACAACCGAGACCGAGGAGAGGGCCATCGCCGCGCCCGCAAACATCGGCGGGAACTGGATGTGCAGCCCGGGGTAGAGCACGCCGGCGGCGAGCGGAATGCCAACCACGTTGTAGATGAAGGCCCAGACAAAGTTGATCCTGACGACGTATCGCGGACACATTGGGATGAGGGACGCAGCGAGGGGAGACGGCGCCTCGCGGAGGTGGCTGGGCACTGACCGGATGCGACGCATCGCGACGCGCGAGAGGTGGAGCGCCGTGACGACGTCCTGTAGCGAGCTCTTCATCAGGACCACGTCTGCCGTCTCGATAGCCACGTCCGTCCCCGACCCGACCGCGATGCCGACGTCGGCGGCCGCAAGCGCGGGCGCGTCGTTGACGCCGTCGCCCACGAAACCAATCTTGGCGCCGGCTTCGCGCAACTCCTGCACCTTGGCGAGCTTTCCGGCGGGCTTGACGCCCGCCACAACGCGCGCGGCGTGCAGGCCAGCCTCGGCCGCGATGTGCGCTGCGGTGCGCTCATTGTCGCCCGAGATCATCCACACCTCGATGCCGCGCTGCTGCAGCTGCTTCACCACCGGGCGCGCGTCGGGCTTGAGCGAATCCGCCACGGCCAACGCGCCGGCGAGGAGCAGCGTCGGCGGTCCGTCTTCCGCCTCCGCCACGGCGGCGCTCTTGCCGGTCCCCTCCACCGCCGCCACCAGCTCCGCCGCCGCCGCCGACCCGACCACTGTCGCCAGGCCGGCCTCGAGGTTGACCGTGGCCGAGGCGACCCCCTCGACGGCGCGCAGCGCCTCCTCGACGCGCGCGCTGCAGTGACCGCACGTCATCCCGCCAACGCGCAGCGTTGTGGTGCGCGACGCAGGGGCATGGCCGGCTGCGTCGGTGGCGGCGGCGGCAGTGGCGGCGGTAGCGGCGGCGGTGGCGTGGGAGGCGTCGGCGGTGGGCTCAAGCGCGACAAAGACAACGGTGTGTCCCCGCCGCTCGAGGGCCGCCACCTCGCCCTCCTGCTCCGCGGTGAGGAAGAGCCCGTTCTCGCCCATCCACGAGCGGTTGCCGAGCAGCACCGCGCGCCCGTCCACGAGGCACTGCAGCCCCTGCCCCGCCGCCGCCACGAAGTCGGTCGGCTCGACCGTCCCCACCTCGCGCAGCTGCGCGTGCGCCGTCAGCGCGCGCGCGATCGGGTGCTCCGAGCCGCGCTCCGCGGAGCCCGCGGCGCGCAGCAGCGCCTCCTCAGACACGCCGCCCGCCCAATGTAGCACGCGTGCCACCGCGAGCTTGCCACTCGTGAGCGTGCCCGTCTTGTCGAAGCAGACGGCGCTCACCGCCGCCGCGCGCTCGAGCACGTCGCCGCCCTTGATGAGGATGCCTAATTAATAAATTGACTAAGTAATAATAAATTAGCCTGAGCACGTCGCCGCCCTTGATGAGGATGCCGTGCGCCGCGCCGACGCCGCCCGCAACCATGACCGCGGTCGGCGTGGCGAGGCCGAGTGCGCACGGGCAGGCGATCACGAGGACGGCGCAGCCAAACATGAAGGCAAGCAGCTGGTCGTCGTCGACCTGGAGAGTGCCCATCGGGCTGGTCGTGTTGCCGTCCGGCCGCGGCATGGCGCCCACCGCGCCGGTGATGGCCCACGCCGCCCAGGTGGCGACGGCGATGCCGATGACGACGGGCACGAACACGGCCGAGATGCGGTCGGCAAAGGCCTGGATCTGCGGCTTGCGGTGCTGCGCGTCGGCCACGACGCGCATGATTTGCGCCAGCGTCGAGTCGGCGCCGACGGCCGTGACGAGCACATACAGCACTCCGGAGCCGTTGATGGTGCCGCCGACGACGCGGTCGTCGGACCGCTTGGGCTGCGGCAGCGACTCGCCCGTGATCATCGACTCGTCCACCGCGGAGACGCCGTACAGCACGCGGCCGTCCACCGGCACCTGCATCGAGTCACTTCCTAGACACTTCCTAGACACTTCCTACAGCACGCGCCCGTCCACCGGCACCTGCGCGCCCGGCAGCACCTTGACAACGTCGCCCTGCCGCAGCCCGGAGACGGGCACCTCGGCGGGCACCTGAGGGGCGTGTCGCGGGCGCGTCACGGACGTGCCCGCGCCGCAGCCAGAGACGGCCACCTCGGCGGGCAGCCTGCTCGATGTCCTTGCAGGTCGTGAGCTGCAGCGCCGTGGGCGGCTGCAGGTTGAGCAGCTGCGAGATTGCGGAGGAGGCGCGCCCCTTGGCGGCCGACTCGAGGAACTTGCCGAGCAACAGGAAGGTGATGAGCATCGCCGCCTACTCGCGCGCGGAGGCGTGAAGAGAGGCCGCCCGCCGCCGGCCCGCTCCCGAGGGGCATCGCTGCCGTCTCGAACTGCTCGTTGCCCTTGCCCTGCGCGCCCTTGGTGGCCAGCGCGACGATGAGGAAGACGATCGAGTAGCCTACGCGGCGCGCGGCGGGCGTGCGGTGGAGGTGCACGCGTCGCGTGCGCAACGGAGGGCGATCGTAGCGTGCGCCGTATGCGGCGAAGGTTCCGAGCGAGACGAGGACGTCCATGTTGAAGGTGCGGTGGCGCAGCGAGGCGAGGCAGCCGCGGTGGAAGGGGAGGCCGAAGAAGCACTGCACCGGCGTGGTGAGCAGCAAGTTGACGAGGACGAGCACGGTCAGCCCCGGCAAGACCTCGGCGGACAGCGCCGCCTGGGCAGGGGGCGGGGCGGGGGGTGGGGGGTGGGGGGTGGGGGGGCGGGCGAGAGCGGCGGTGGGAGCGGCGGCCGCAGAAGCAGCGAGGGAGGGAGAGGCAGCTGGAGGGGGAGCGAAGGCAGCCGCGGCGAGGCCTCTCGCCTTTGTGGCCGCGGTGTGCTTGAGCACCATCGAGAGCAGGAACACGGGCAGCGTGAAGAGGAGGCTCAGCCAGAAGCGGCGGCGCCAGTAGGCCGCCTCGCGCCCGAAGGAGCGTGCGGCCGCCCCCGCCGCCTCGTCGCCCGCCTGCGGCTCCGCGCTGTAGCCGAGCGCGCTCACCTTTGCGACGATGGTCGGCACGTCCACCAGCCGCTCGTCGTACCTGCAGGAGAGGTGCGGGGGGCGGGGCGGGAGCCGTGCCGGCGGCATGTGGCCCGTCTCGCGCGCAGCCCGTCGCACTTGACGTGCCCGCTAGGAAGTGTCTAGGAAGTGTCTAGGAAGTGTCTAGGAAGTGTCTAGGAAGTGTCTAGGAAGTGTCTAGGAGGTGTCTAGGAAGTGTCTAGGAAGTGTCTAGGAAGTGTCTAGGAAGTGTCGCACTTGACGTGCCCGCTCATCGCCATGAGCGAGACGCTCGCGCCCTCCACGCCCGGCAGCGCCTTGAGCCCGCCCTCCACCGCGGACACGCACGACGCGCACGTCATCCCTCCGAGGGCGAGGGTGACCTCCCTGCTGTACACCGCGCTCGAATCCTCCGCCAGCGGCGACGCCGCCGGCAGCAGCGGCTGGCTCAAGCCATCGCCGCCGCCAACCGACTCGGAGCTGTCGTCGCCGACGAGCGCCGCCTCGTACCTACCCGACATGTCGTGGACGTGTCGTGGACGTGTCGCGGGCGAGTCGCGGGCGGCGGGTCGTGCACCCGGCAGCGCCGATCGCCGCCAGCAGCGCCTCCACCGGCGCCGCCCCGCGCACGGAGAGCTCGTTCGTCTCGAGGCTGTGGTGGACGACGCCTACAGCAGGAAGGTTCCAAGAAAGGTCTAGGAAAGGTCTAGGAAGCTCGTTCGTCTCGAGGCTGTGGTGGACGACGCCTACAGGAAGGTTCCAAGAAAGGTCTAGGAAAGGTCTAGGAAGCTCGTTCGTCTCGAGGCTGTGGTGGACGACGCCTACAGGAAGGTTCCAAGAAAGGTCTAGGAAAGGTCTAGGAAGCTCGTTCGTCTCGAGGCTGTGGTGGACGACGCCTACAGGAAGGTTCCAAGAAAGGTCTAGGAAAGGTCTAGGAAGCTCGTTCGTCTCGAGGCTGTGGTGGACGACGCCTACAGGAAGGTTCCAAGAAAGGTCTAGGAAAGGTCTAGGAAGCTCGTTCGTCTCGAGGCTGTGGCGGACGACGCCTACAGGAAGGTTCCAAGAAAGGTCTAGGAAAGGTCTAGGAAGCTCGTTCGTCTCGAGGCTGTGGTGGACGACGCCTACAGGAAGGTTCCAAGAAAGGTCTAGGAAAGGTCTAGGAAGCTCGTTCGTCTCGAGGCTGTGGTGGACGACGCCTACAGGAAGGTTCCAAGAAAGGTCTAGGAAAGGTCTAGGAAGCTCGTTCGTCTCGAGGCTGTGGTGGACGACGCCTACAGGAAGGTTCCAAGAAAGGTCTAGGAAAGGTCTAGGAAGCTCGTTCGTCTCGAGGCTGTGGTGGACGACGCCTACAGGAAGGTTCCAAGAAAGGTCTAGGAAAGGTCTAGGAAGCTCGTTCGTCTCGAGGCTGTGGTGGACGACGCCTACAGGAAGGTTCCAAGAAAGGTCTAGGAAAGGTCTAGGAAGCTCGTTCGTCTCGAGGCTGTGGTGGACGACGCCTACAGGAAGGTTCCAAGAAAGGTCTAGGAAAGGTCTAGGAAGCTCGTTCGTCTCGAGGCTGTGGTGGACGACGCCTACAGGAAGGTTCCAAGAAAGGTCTAGGAAAGGTCTAGGAAGCTCGTTCGTCTCGAGGCTGTGGTGGACGACGCCTACAGGAAGGTTCCAAGAAAGGTCTAGGAAAGGTCTAGGAAGCTCGTTCGTCTCGAGGCTGTGGTGGACGACGCCTACAGGAAGGTTCCAAGAAAGGTCTAGGAAAGGTCTAGGAAGCTCGTTCGTCTCGAGGCTGTGGTGGACGACGCCTACAGGAAGGTTCCAAGAAAGGTCTAGGAAAGGTCTAGGAAGCTCGTTCGTCTCGAGGCTGTGGTGGACGACGCCTACAGGAAGGTTCCAAGAAAGGTCTAGGAAAGGTCTAGGAAGCTCGTTCGTCTCGAGGCTGTGGTGGACGACGCCTACAGGAAGGTTCCAAGAAAGGTCTAGGAAAGGTCTAGGAAGCTCGTTCGTCTCGAGGCTGTGGTGGACGACGCCTACAGGAAGGTTCCAAGAAAGGTCTAGGAAAGGTCTAGGAAGCTCGTTCGTCTCGAGGCTGTGGTGGACGACGCCTACAGGAAGGTTCCAAGAAAGGTCTAGGAAAGGTCTAGGAAGCTCGTTCGTCTCGAGGCTGTGGTGGACGACGCCTACAGGAAGGTTCCAAGAAAGGTCTAGGAAAGGTCTAGGAAGCTCGTTCGTCTCGAGGCTGTGGTGGACGACGCCTACAGGAAGGTTCCAAGAAAGGTCTAGGAAAGGTCTAGGAAGCTCGTTCGTCTCGAGGCTGTGGTGGACGACGCCTACAGGAAGGTTCCAAGAAAGGTCTAGGAAAGGTCTAGGAAGCTCGTTCGTCTCGAGGCTGTGGTGGACGACGCCTACAGGAAGGTTCCAAGAAAGGTCTAGGAAAGGTCTAGGAAGCTCGTCTCGAGGCTGTGGCGGACGACGCCTACAGGAAGGTTCCAAGAAAGGTCTAGGAAAGGTCTAGGAAGCTCGTCTCGAGGCTGTGGCGGACGACGCCCTCGACGCCACCCACCATCCGCACCGCGCGCTCCACCTGCTCACACGTCGGGGCGTGGAGGGACGCACCTCGCGACACCCGTGCCGCGCCGCCACGCAGCCTTTGCGCGGCAGCCGTTGCAAACCATCCCCTCCGCGCGCAGCCGCACGACCCGCGGCGCGTGCTCCTCCGAGGCCGCGGGCGCGGGCGCCGGCCGCGCGACAAAGCTGCGACAGGGATCGGGTGTGCGAGCGTGGGGAGGGGAGGTGTGGCGGCGACAGGCGGGCACGACTGGCGCGGCAGCGCAGCGGTAGCAGTGATGGGCGAGGCAGGGGCGACGGAGACGAGGGTACACGCGCCTGCCGGCGGCGGCGATGGCGGGCAGGAGCCGCTCGGCGGTGACGGCGCCGCTGACGGTCACTATCTTTGAGATCAGGTTGACGGCCACGTAGTCAACCTCGGGAGGGACGGGGAGGAAGTGAGAAGGGGGGGCGGGAGATGGAGGCGGGGAGGAGGAGGGGGGAGGGGGCGGGGGGGGGGGGGGGGGGGGGAGGCCTCGGGCAGCGCCCCAAGGACTCGCTTGAGTGTCGCCCGACAGCCGACACAAACCATGCCCTCGACAATGACCGAGACCACGCGGGTGGGGGCCGGCCGACGGACCGCCGCCACCGTATCCTTTGCCACGCCGCTCTCCGCCACGGCGGCGCTCTTGCCGGCCCCCTCCACCGCCGCCACCAGCTCCGCCGCCGCCGCCGACCCGACCACTGTCGCCAGGCCGGCCTCGAGGTTGACCGTGGCCGAGGCGACCCCCTCGACGGCGCGCAGCGCCTCCTCGACGCGCGCGCTGCAGTGACCGCACGTCATCCCGCCAACGCGCAGCGTTGTGGTGCGCGACGCAGGGGCATGGCCGGCTGCGTCGGTGGCAGCGGCGGCAGCGGTGGCGGCGGCGGCATCAGAGCCCGGTGAGTCTGGCGGCGAGAGCTGCGCAGCCGGCGGGGGCGAGGTTGTGACGGCGGCGCTCTTGCCGGCCCCCTCCACCGCCGCCACCAGCTCCGCCGCCGCCGCCGACCCGACCACTGTCGCCAGGCCGGCCTCGAGGTTGACCGTGGCCGAGGCGACCCCCTCGACGGCGCGCAGCGCCTCCTCGACGCGCGCGCTGCAGTGACCGCACGTCATCCCGCCAACGCGCAGCGTTGTGAGCGAGCAGCCCGGCGGTAGAATCACCCTGCCCGTGGCCTCGAGCGCCGCGCTGAGCGCCTCGCGCGACACCGACCCACGGATGGTCGCCTCACCCGCCAAGACATCAACCGAGCAAGAGACGACGCCCTCGACGCCGAGGATAGCCTGCCGGACGATCTCCTTGCAGCCGCCGCACGTTATCCCGCTGATGGCCACCGTCGAGGTGTGTTCATCCACGACCCGGGCCATGTGTCTATGTCTATCAGTCGGTTGATATCTGGACTGTGTTCGCGCCGAGGGTTGGTTGCTCGAGCAGTGCTGAGAGAAGAAACCACAAGGCGGCGGCAGAAGAGAGGTGAATGAATTTTGTACTCGTGACTATCTCGGCGCAGCGGACCAAGCACAACGACCACGCAGGGGCAGAGCGGCGGCCGCCTCGGGGCAAGTGCGCGCGCTGCACAAGAGCGCTCGGAACCGGGGTCCGCAGCCTTTCCCGCGCTCTGGAGAGCGGCTGCGCGCCGCTCTAGTTGGCCCAGAGGTTGCCGATGGTCCAGAGGCTCGTGTCGGGGCCCGTCGGCAGGAAGGGCTGCATGTAGTCGCCGTCGTAGCTGGGGATGATGCCCGAGAGGGCGGGGACGGAGCCCGGGATCTTCGACTCGGAGAGGAAGCCTGCGGCGGGGGCGCGGGGGCGTCGGCGGCGGAGCGCACGCGTTCGCAGCGCGTCTACCGCTGCGTGGCACTGCCGGCACCGGCCCGGCACCCCCGCCCAGTGGGCTCTAAGAGTAGGGGGGTTGGGGGAGTAGTGGCGTCGCGGGCGCGCGCCGAAGAGGCCCAGCATCGCGAGGCGGCCGTTGTTGGTCTCGGTGACGAGCCCCTTTGCCTTCTTCTCGGGCGACGCGTTCTTGCTCCACTTGAACGGGTCAAAGAGGTTGAGTGGCATCGGGTGCACGTTGGCAGAAAAGGTGGGGAAGTAGCCGGGCTTGCCGCCGCGCATGTAGTGCTGCGGGCGCGGTGGGGAGGGGGGGGGGGGGCAAGGGATGAGCTCTCGCCGCCGTCTGCCGCACGCCGCGCGAAAGCTGCCGCGAGGCTGCAGCCGGCGCGAGGCCGACAGCTGTGGGGGCGACGGCGCCTTCATGCCGTCGGCGGCGAGGAAGTTCTTGTCCTCGGAGATGTGCTCGAGGACGCCGATCGCGCCGATGATCTGGAGCTTCGCAAGGAAGGGGATCGAGTCCCACACCTCCGGCGCCGACGCGCCCTCCGGCACCACATTCTGTGGGCCGATGCCGCCAAAGCGGAAGCCGTTCGCGTGCGCAATGTAGCCGACGAAGCCGGCCATCGCGATGCGGCCGTGCTTAATCTCGGAGTGGCGCAGCCAGCCTGCGCGCGGAGGGACGGCGATGGATCGGCGCCTCACTTCGTCTCTCTTCCGACTGGCTGCCGCCGTGAGGGCGGCCGCGCGCACCGATAACGGCGTCCTGGTCCTGGCCCCAGAGCGGCAGATCCGCCAGGCCAAGCGGGTCCCAGTACCCCACCACTGGGTTGCACTCCTTCGCGAAGGCTGCGCGGAAGAAGCGGCTGCGGTCAGGGAAGCTCTGTGCAGTGCCGAGGGCATCGGCCGGCGGTGTCCGTGGTGGGTTGTGGTGGCCGGCGGCGGAGTGTGTGCTGCTGAGGCATGGCGGCTGCGCGCACCCTCCAGGTCGGCCTTGGCCGACATGACCGGGCCGCTCACGGCCGCGCGGGGCGCGACAGCCGGAGCAAAAGAGAGCGACGATGAGGTGAGAGCGAGCATCCTGCTAGGGCGATCTCAGTGCTTCATTTGGGCTTCACGCAAGCTAGCTGTGAATTCGTGTGCTGGCGGAGAGAGGGCGGGAGCGCAGGCGGGTTTCCGCAGGTCGGACCTTAAAGCGTTGTAGATCCCTGGGCGAGGGTGGTGCAGAGGGCTTTGTGTCGGTGTCAAGCCATATCCACATCTCGATCTTCTATCCCCTTCGGTGCGAGACCGACGATTTCTGTCTCGTTTCTGGGGATGGAGCTTGGAGGACAGATGGGAGCCAGAGCTAATTCTTTTCATAAAGAGAGCCGCCCATCCAACGCGGGCGCGCCAGGCCATGGGCTGCTGCGAATCCTGCTTTGGAGGCGGCGAGAGCTCTTACTCCGACCCGGTCGCCGACGCCGCCGCTCGTCGTGCCGCAGCTGAGGCTGCCGAGCGCCGCGCGCAGCAGTACGCCAACTCGGCGCACGGCCGCGCAGCGCAACGGCAGGCGCAGGAGATGGACAGAGAGCGGAAGCGACAGATCGCGGGACAAAATACAACACCCGCGATGACGGCGGCGGACTGGCTCAACTAACCAGTCAACGAGCAGCGCCACGTTTGCGGGACGCCCTCACGCGCACCTGCATCCGCAGAGACATGGGCTAGGGCCTTGAGATACATGCGCCGCAGGGTAGGATTCTAGACGGAGGCCGCTTCTTTACTGGCGTCACCCGCGAGGTCACAGGCTGACAGGTCTGAGGTCAGTGACAGTCGTCTCCGTACTCCGACGGGACTTTTTGATTTTGTTTTTTCTGTTGTGTGTTGCGCTCTCAAACTCACCTTCACTGTTCACACTTGAATTGAACCGTGAATAAACCGCGTCTCGCGTCAGACGCACAGACCAGGGCGGCATTTCTCACCAGAGCATCGCCCTACTCTATACACAGGAGAAGAAAAAAGACACGCACACACGCGACACGGCTGTGAGATCTGGGTGAGGGGGTGTGATCTGTGGCGGTGAGGGTCCGCGACCGCCCGCAGGCGCATTTTGTATACCGGGCACATACCGAGGCGGTGCCCGGTATAGACGGCTGTACACCACATGCACGACTCACCTCACGGCATCGCTCGCAGCAGCGGTCCGCGACGGGACCTCTCCGGTCGCGGCGCAACACCCCTGCCCCTGCCAACTTTGCTGCTGCCCCTGCTGCTCCTGCTGCTGCCGGAGCTTGGCCAGAGTCGCCTCGACGTCGGCGAGTGCGGCGCGTATGGCGCGCCCCTCTTCGCTGCTCGCGTCCACCCGCGCCACCCCCTCGCGCAGCGCCGGCAGCAGCGCCTCCACCCTCCCACCGATGGAATCTCCGCCGAGGTCGCGGAGCAGCGGCTCGGGCGGCGGCTCGGGCGGCGCGGCGGGCTGCCTCGCGGCCGGACTGTGGGGGGAGGAGGACTGCTCCTCGAGGGGAGAGGGCCTCTCGTGGGGAGGGGCCGCCCCGCCGCCCGCGAGGCGAGAGGGAGGCGGCAGCGGCGGCGGCAGCGGCGGCGGCAGCGGCGGCGGCGGAGGCGGCTCGGGGAGGCGGCCCATCTGGTGGAAGGGGTAGATCTTGCCT